ATAATTAACATAGTTATTATAGTTTATAATTTTTTAAGAAATATTGAAAATTTATAAAATACAAAGAATTAATACAGTCGAAGAGTTAATATCAAATTAAATTTCCTATATTTTCTTTTCCATCGGCTATGACTTAAATCCATTCACTAATAACTCAGACTGAAGAGACCTATCTACAAAAATATGACATTACAACTATTTATGTTCTTTCCTACGATTTATTATCTTTCAATAAGATATTAAATTTTCAACAATGCTACAAATATTTATAAATTAAAATATTGATATTTATTATGTATAATATAGATATTTATAATTAAATAAATTAAGACCACTGTAAAAGAACTCTTTATGCATATAAAAATTGATTCAAAGAAAAATCAATTTTACTCGCGAACAAAAGGATTTTTCCTCATTATGACCCGATTTCACTGCATGATAACTCTCAGGAAGAACTGATTTCACACTTAAAACATAATAATCCCCAAAATGCAAGCGAGGAAGATCTATCCATTATTTACATGAAAAATGGATACACACCGAGCTTTTCCCTTTGGTCCTCGAAATTTCCGACGTTTTTTTAACTCAATAAAAGAGTGTTTATGATCAGCGTGCACCTCATTAGCTTGTTTATTTTTTGCGGAAACATGTAAATAAACCAATCGTTTTAATATGGCATCAAAGAGCTTATAAAAAAATAGATATAACTTTAATAACTGATTTAAATAACGCCAGCGATACCAAACTGAAATTTTCAAAAACTGAGTTACCCGTTGAAACAATATTCCAAAGAACAAAGTTTTTATAACTATTCTGCAAATGTGCAATAATATTTTTACATTTAAATGTTTAAATGTATCATAATACTTTGAAAGTATTAATGTAAAACAATGACATACTACAATTACAATAATTTTAAAATAAATATATGATGAAAAATATTTGATGGAATGAAAAAAAAGCTTTTTCGATAACCTTTAATAGAAATCAAACGTGAGAAACATAAAAGATTCAATAAAATTAATTTCATGATGAAGATTTTAATTGTTAATGTAATTTAAAATAGGTATTGACATTGTAATTTATAGTTTTCTTTTTTTATTTGTCCTATATATATATATAACGTCGTTGCCGAGTGGAAGGATTAAAACAGGTCTTAAGTCGGGAAGGAGGGTATAAAATTTATTTATTAATTATTAGACAACAGCAGTCATGAGCGTGTGTAAAAGTGTACACGAAAAGTTGCGCTCCTTGGTTATATGTTAGGAAAAATCTTGCAAAGTGAAATCCGTAAAATCTCTTAATTTAGGGAAAGAGGGAAATCTTAGTAGTTGTTATTGGTTTATGAAATAGATCGGATGTTTCCCACACAGAGCAAAGGGGAAAATGTCCTGCTTGTAATTAAATGCATACTTGTTCCAAAAATAGATTTACGAACAGGATGTGGCTTTTAAAAGTGTGAGAAAGTATTTCGATTAGAATAATAATTAGGATAACATAAAAAGATTAACTGAAGCTTTTTATGTTACATCACCCCTTGCCAAAAATGTTTAGTTACAATCCAAAAATTTTAAAAATTATCCATTTGCAAAATCTTCCCTCTGATAGAAGCACAATTAAAATAACCAAATTTGAAATGTTGACAATATATAAAAGTAATATAAATTATAAAACATTTACATATGTTCTCATTGTAAAAATTTTAACACAATCAAAAATCTGTAGTAGCATTATCAGCAATAAGAAGTATTCTTCATAATAACACAATTTAAGTTAACTCTTCAGTCATGATAAAAAATTATAAACTTTTTTTTAAAAATGTCTAAGTTAAAATGTAAGTAACACATAATACAAAAAACACTTTATCAGGAAAAATTTAAAAGTGAAATTAGATTTGAGTCTTGTTTACCTTGTTTGAAAACAAAATAAAATAAAAATTGTCACAGTGGTTGTTACACTGAAGTCCAAGACTTCAGTATTGACTTCATTTCACTTTATTATTTACCTTTCATTTTTTGTCACTTTAAAAGCAAAATATTTGAAAAAAAATTTTTTCAAAATTACCTGAAGTTAGGAATTTATTAATTTTCTTGGATTTGCACAATTCTGTGAACATGATTTTGACAATGTTACGCACCATTATCATATTTAGTCTCAAGAATATTAGAAAACACAAGAAATTTTCAATTCTGCTATTTGAAATTTTTTTTTATATAAATATATTTATTTATTATTTTTTTTTATGTCCAAAATTTGCCTACTGTATCACTTTTTCTTTTCACTCTTTAATTTTTCTTTTCGTTCTTTTATTTTTCTTTTCTTTCTACTTTCTATATTTTTTTATATTTTTATTTTCTTTCTTGGTATTTTGATTGCAATTATTAACCCGGATTTCAGGAAATATGTAAAGACAACTTGCTTTTATAATCAGAAAAGATGATCAATCTTCTCAGATTTTGCATTACAACCTGTTTAACACAAACACTAATTGAGATCCATAACAAAGCTTTCAAATTTAATATGGTATTAAGGTAAATCAGTTTTTAAAATTTGACTGATCTAGCTATTTTCCTTATTTTTAATCTGAAGTGCAAGTTTGGTTAATTAGCAAATTACCTTTTATTTCATTTTCTTTTTTTATATCATAAGCTTCAGTTAATCTTCATAAGAAGCATAAATAAGCTTTTTATTTAACATATATTTTTGGAATAATTTATAACATGGATAGACGGTTGGATAGTTGAATAAAGACCTATGTGGTTTAAACCAAACAGTTTTTTTTTAAAAAAACTATTTTATATAGTTAAATTTTATATTATTCATATAAATTCTTTCAGTTTAATTGTAACAAAATAAAAAAAAAGGATATTTTCTTCCAATTTTGAACTTCATTTCAAATGGGAATCTGTATTATTTCAAATAAACATAGAAAAAGTTTTAAACAAAAATATCTATCTAAACATTGTTGGCATTTCATCCCGGAAGAAACATACAGGGTATCTACTCACCTGGAAAATCATGAAAATTCATAAATTTCTGTATTGAACCAAATTTGTCATGATTTTAATTATTTTTTCTAAAAAATCATGGGAAGTCATGGATTTAGTTTGCTGAAAAATCTAATTTTTGAAATTAAATTCCTCTCCCAATTTCATGGTGTTCCAAATATCTAAATTTCTATCAAAATCCCCACTCACAGTCATATTTTATTAAAGTATAAAATGTTTTTATTGTGTTCTTTAAAAATTATGGTTTTCTATCAAAAAATGAAAGAACATCATTTCTAGAGCGAATTATCTTTTAAACTTCTGTGATTTCAGAAATTTTGTTTTTATTTATTTCATAAATTTAAAATTCTAGCTGAAGCAAGCCAGTCAATGCCGAATTTTTTTTTTCTGAAATGAGAACAGAAAAATCAGGAATATTTCTTTCCTTTGAGATGAACAAGAAAAGTATCTTTAGAATATAATTCTGCAGGAGAAAGGGAAAAAAATTATTTTATTTTTTTCAGCTATTTTATTGCTTCAACTCTTTCTTTACTCTGTTTTTTAAATTTAAAATCAGTAAATATGAAGATGCAGAGTATAGCAGTTTTGGTTATAGGTATCATATGAATTAATGTTATTACAATGCTTTTTTAAATTTATGGTTGTTTTTATCAAAGAAAATAGTAACTTCATTAAGTCATGAAAAATTTTTGGAATTAGTCATGGATTTGAAAATCTAAACTGTAGCAGATACGCTAAACATATTTCTTCCAGAACAGTGGAAGAAACTGAATAAAACAAAAAAAGAGGGCAAACTGGAAAAGAATTAAAAATGACAAATACAATTGTTTAACAATAGGTATTATGTAACTCATATATAAGCAAATTAAATTCAGTATAGTTACTAAAAGTTTGTCACATTAACTTTAAAAAAAAAAAAATTCATATTTGTTAGTTTTAAAGAGAATTTTATAATATATTTTTCATATTATTCAGGAGTTGGTTTGGGTAATCATACTTAACATTATTTGATAATGAAAATTATTATGCTATTTGTAATTAATTGTGTGAATTCAATATATGATTTTAGTGGTATCTATGTTTAATATGTGATTTGTTTATTTAGTGGTATTGATAAATTGATTATGTTCTTTTAAGTAATATAAAATAAAGTTGTCCATAAGCTATTGAAAACATAACCTAAATTCTTTTACATAAAATATTAATAAATATCACTTATTTTAATTTTTTAAGAAATTCATAATTTTTTTCTTCTTGTTTTCACTTATTTGAGAATGACATTAAATAGCTCTAAAATTTATGTTATTATCCAAACTAGATTGCTATTTTAAACTGTTTAGATATCTGATATTTCTTTTTGAAAAAGGGTTTATTCCACTTGGGTTGAAAATTTAAGAAATTGGAAATTTAAATTTAATTTGTAAGAAATTGGAATTGGATTATTTAAATTTAGCTTAGATTGATTGAGTTGATATTTAATTAACCAATTTTTTAATTACAGGCTTTAAAAAATTTCACAACAAAAGATGTTGGGACTTTTTGGAATTCTTTAGTCAACAACAAATTTGTCAGTTATTGATTTTTTTTTTAAATGATTTAAATTTTTAATTCTTTTCCTCTCAAGTAAAATACGTAACAAACATCTCATATTTTAACATTTATAACTCAGTTTGCATATTCAGGTTGCTCAGTTTATTAATCTTAAGATTTGTTTTTGAAACCTATTAACATTTGTTCGTTAACCTTATTTATGACTATAGTTTGGATTTTTTTAATTATTTTCATAAATAAACTGAAGTCAGTCTTGAAAGAAAATCAGTAGATAAAATTAAATTAATATCTCTTTTCAATTTGTTTTTAATATTAAAATTTATGTATTTCCTTAAAAATGTAACAAATTTTTGCCGTTAAAGAAAAATTAAAAGTTACATTTTAATGTAAACATTGGTAATTTTTATAATTACTGTTAAATGATCAAGTAATAATGTAGCTCATTAATGAAAGAATGAGATGGAACTTCAACACTTACTTGCTTAAACAAAATTTGCACTATTAGTGTATCTAAAGCGTTTTTTAATGCTGGCCCAAGTTAAATTGAGATTATTATTTAAAAAAAAAAAAATTATGGAGATGGGACAAAAAATAAATAATGATGAAGTGAAAAAATAAATAGAGATATGTATAACTTAGAAAAAAATTTTTGTTTATTATTTAGTGGTTGATGTGAAAAGATGTACAAGGTTAGCTGTTATTTTTATCTTGTTTGCTGTAAAAAATAAATTAATATAATGAATGAAAAAAATCTTTATAATTAATTTAATATATAAGTCCTTATTATAGAAAGGTACATTCTGAAGTCGGTGAACTATAAATGTCTGAAAATTCTAGTAAATAATTCTAGATTGTGTTCATTTATCAAAAAAATAAGTTCTGTCTTGAAATATTTTTAGAGTGGGCACCCATGATGACCACTTATTCTTCAAACCTAATGTGTCGACGACCGATATCGATTGGTCACCGACTCGCGTGGAATTAACTTTTTATATCTTTTCAATTAATACTCAATTTTTGTAAGCGTTTTTTTGCTTGGATTGAGCTATATATATATTTTTTTTTAAATCCTTAAATGCTTGAAGAATAACAAAATGTTCATGATTTTAGGTTAGAAGGACCACTTAGACCTACTACAAAGAATTCAAGTCGTGCTTTGTCCAAATTTGAACCTCATTTAACGAGTCATCCTGTTGAGTCTGTGGAAAAAGAGCCATCTATCTCAAGTAATTCCATCTTATTGTTGATGTTTTCTTCTGAGCATTTTCAACCCAATTCTTTGGTTCCATCTTTATTTGATTCATTTCTTTTTAAAATAGAAAATTTAAGCATGTTAAATCTTTAAAAGTTTTTCTTCTGTTTTTAAAAACTTTGTAAGTGGTTAAATATGATTTAATTTCAATTAATCACATATTATTGTATAATACAGTCAAACCTCGCTATAGTGAACCTTCAAGGGGCCAAAATTTCAGTTCACTATAACTGGGAGTTCATTATATCCATACTGCAAACAATTTTAATTAATTTTTCCAAACTGCTCCCTTTTATGACACATTATTTAAATAAATGACCAATGAAAAGAAATACAAAAAGGATTAAAGAACAATATGTAGTGACAAAAAATGTGTTCACTTATATTTTTTATGACTCATCGTCTTGCGTGCAAAAAATTTAGGGATGAAAAACTGAGATAAAAGAAGCAAATAAGTAAAAATGCTTCTGGCTACATTTCACTCAATAAGAGGTCTTAAAAATTGGTATATGTATTTTATGTAGGAACTTCAAAATTACCGAAAAATGAAGGAAAAAAATCACTCCAGGACAGAAAAAAGTTCAGAATATCCAATTTCCTCTCATCTTTTGGTTCGCTATATCCACAGAAAATGATATTATATGTGTATGGCAAGGCACGTGAGCGAGCATTTCGTTCACAATGTCCGGGAGTTCAGCAGAGTTTAACTGTATTTTATTAATTTAGGATGATGTATTTTTTTTAGTGTGACTTAGTTGTTGAAAAGTTAATCTTTTATTTTATTGATTAATAAGTTCTTCCTTTATTTTTCATCTTCCAACAGCATTGCTTCTTATTTTAGGATAATTTACTTATTTATTTTTAATGAAATATTATATTTTTTTCATTTATTTATTTAATTTGTTTAAGTCAAAGCATTACTTTTTGGTTATTTGTACTATTTGATTTAACTTAATAAATATGGAATAACTTTAGCCAGCTATGGATTATTTATATGTTTGTTAGTTTCTTTTTTGGAAGGTTTGATATTTGTTGTTAAAAATGTTTTTTGTCTTCAGTTATGTTCTTTTTAAATAAGTATCACTTGAATAAGTTTAACGATTTTTTTTATGTTTTATTTCACTCTTAAAAAAATACTTTCTACCAACCCAATAATAATGACATGGTGCATTTTTAAAAAGTGCTTAAATGTGCTTTTTTTTCTTCTTTTAAAAGCCCTGAAAGGTGCTATTTTCATTGAGTGTTTTTAAAAAGTGCGTAATTTTCCATTTTCGAATATTAGATTTTTTCCTCTACCATGTTGATTTTCGACACATAGTATGCAAAAGCGTGCTTTACACATTGTTCTATTCAGCATTTCCACAATTCATCCAACCACAGTCTACTTTGGCGCATCGTTGGTCTATAGAGTATGAAAGCGCCAATCTTTTTGCATGTTTAGTGAAATACTTGTAAGTTAGCGTGCGCATTCACTGAGCTGGGATAAGTGAGATTCTTGCACTGTCATGTGCAAATCATGATTTAAATCGAATGATTTTTTTTTTAAAAAATCATTGATTTAAATCAACAGATTTTTTTTATATATATTGATTTGAAAAGTTAAAAAACAGTGTTAAAAATTATTAATAATTTTATTATTTTCTTTCCTTAGTTTTAAAATTTATTTTAAATGAAGTGCTGCATTAATTAATTTTAGTTAACGAAATTACTTTCATTCTTGGTGTGTGATAAATTCCAACACATTAGAAATTACATTTTTAAAAATCTTTTAATGCTTGAAATTGAAAGTACAGATTAAAGAAAACATTCAGGGCTGTCTTAATATAGACTTGCATAGCTGTAGAAAGTAATTAATAATTTTTTTCACAAAAGAAATACAAATAATGTTAATTTAAATTCTACCTTTTGTTTGAAAAAGCATGGAGTTAAAATCTTCATTATATTTTATTGGTGGAAAATGTATGTTTCTAAAGCTTGAGGTTATATTTAAAAAAAATTGCCCGAATTTGCCAAAAATAGAATAAAAATGCTGATTGATTCAGATATTTTTTTCTGATATAGTGTCATTCTTCCCCTTTAAACTCTATTTAAAGCAATAGGGTTATTAACTGGTAACAGTGTGCATAGATTAAACATTTATAAAGTTTTTTTAATTGTAAATCCAAGTTCTTACAATATATTTTAATAAAAATCAAAAAAGTCCGATTTAAATAAAAAACAAATCTGATTTTTTTTTTGTTTTTTTAAAGAAAAGAAATCAAAAAAATTACAAACCCTGCTTGTGTGCAAGTCTGCTGCATTTTGCAAGATATTCTCAATTTCAAGCTTCATTTTCCACCCTCTGATATCGAGCGGAAAAATCTCTCCACTATTTTATAATGGCTGATATAATCAAGAAAAGAGTTCTTTATCAGAAACTAGTTATTTTATCATGATCATGTAAAGTCTTTGAAAATTATTTTGCATTTTGTTAATGTATATAGTGCTTAAAAATATTTTTTAATTGCTTAAAAAGTACTTTTTTTTGTTGAAAGATTTGGCTATACACCATGAATAAGATTTTAAATTAATTGTTCTGGTTTATTTCCACAGATATCAAGTCCAGTCCTGTCCATAATCTGAAACTGGGCTATACCTGGCCTGAAGTTGAACTGAATCCTCCTTACCTTGGCCTGAAATTGAGTCAAAAATACATTGAATCCTAACATTACATCCTAATTTGGGTGTGAGTAACGGAAACCACTTGTGTACTGTTGATGTTCCTGTTAGATATGAAATATCTTTTTGTGATATAGAACAGACATTCTCATTTGTTGCATGAAATATGTATATTTTTCATCAGATATATGTGTATCAGCCAGAACCGGATTATTCCTTTCGTAGGCCCTAGGCACAGCCGTTTATGGGCCCTCCCTTCCTTCGCCCACTCCTTCCCTCTTTTCAAAATATATGCTAATTTTTCTCCCAAGTTTTTCGTAGGCCCCTTAATTTCGTAGGCCCTAGGCACGTGCCTAGTGTGCCTATAGGTTAATCCGGCCCTGGTATCAGCTCATCATTTGTGCACAAAAATGGAAAACATATGTAATCATATAAAAAATTTCAGGGCTGTAAAAAGTTTTCATTGACAATGTAAAAGCTGTCATTATTTGAAAAAAAAATTAGCCTTATTGAAAAAATTATTTTGATTTTGTTCAATGGGCCTAAAATTTTATTTATTATAAGGTGAAAAAGTTTTTTTTAATTTTTTATTTAGGTGAAAAAGTTTGGTTAAAATAGGAATGCACAACATGCGGCCCGCCAACTGTTGTTGTGCAGCCCGCAGGAGCTTCTGAATGTATAAAAAATTTCCTTTTCATTTAGTTTTTTTTTTAAATTTTATAAATTTTATTTAGTTAAAATATTTAATTCAAATTTATATTACTCTATAAAATATGTATATTTTTAGCACTTTCATTTGCAAGTGGCCCTTCACTTAAAAAGCTTGTGCATTCCTAGTTTAAAATTTTAATTTTTTTTTCAAAGCAGAAGCATGATACAAATTTTAGTTTTTAAGTTTAAAAATTTAAGATTTAGAAAGAAAATTACATTTTTTAAAAAGTTATGTATGAAATTTATTATTTAGGTCACCTGGAATCTGAATTAGAAATAATTGTTTTTCAGGTTTAACTGTATTTTCAATTTTCAACTCCATCTATAGATTAGGTTACTATGCAGATTCCAGCTATTTAAGTATATTACAGAAAGTTTAAATATAATATTTTTACATGAGACTCTTCCTAACTTCCTAAACTTTAATGTAATGAAAGAAAATGCTGTGTTGAGTATTTATTCTTCTTAACCGCTTCCCTCTATTTGGAATTGTGAATTTGTAATGAAACTGGGAAGAAGTTCTTCAATAGCAGGTGTCATATAAAAAGAATCATTATGCATAATGTTGTTACATAGCCTAATTATTACCATAAATACTCAGAATAATAAGTTTAAAATATATTAAGTAAAACTTGACTCCATCAAATTTTTTAAATGTTTAATATCAATATTTTCGTTACATGATCGCCAATTGGCAACCTTTCTCGGAATTGTTCCCATTCTTCTCCCAAAAGTGGCGTAATAAAGTCAGGTGACAAAGAGGGAACCAAATGCTAATTCCTGGTAAATGAACAATACATATGCAGTAAAAAAAAAAACTTTAAGTAAATATGTAAATAATTTAAATGGTTACAAAAACTTTTTATGGTCTCAAAATTTTGAATGTCGAAAAAAAATGTTTTTCGTGATACACTCTTATGTCTATGATTTTTCTTTTTTAATTGAGAGTTGTAATAATTGCTGATTGTTTTCATTCACTGTATTCTCTGTCACCCAATGCTTAGACTATAAGCCATTTGTTCTTTTATTACTTATTTGTTTGTTTGTTTTTTCTGATTATTTAATTATTATTTAAGGTATGGGATTTTATATTCAGAACACAGATATTTTGGATGAACTTAAAATATTAACAACTGAGCATAGTATGCAATGATAGAAGGGAAATTTATTTTAATGTCAAATAACGATGAAATTTTTGACTATTTTTTTAATAACAAAATAAATTATATCTACAGCCCCTGGACAAAGTATTAGACGCACTCTAAGATTCTATGTAAAATCTTAATTATCAGGTGATAGACTATACAGTGTGTCTAATACTTTGGCTAGGTATGATATATTGTTAAACTATATCATGCAAAATTATATTCTTTAGTATCAAAATATGAGTTGGTTTTAGTTGTTTAAAATGCTTCTTTTTTTTGTTTAGTTAGTAGTCTCAGATGCCCAGAATCTATAAAATTGCAATTTCTATTAAAAAAAAAATTTTTCTTTCATAAATGTGTTATATTTTTGTAGTTGTGGTGGTTGTTCACATTTTCAATAAGTCTGAATCTCTTGAATCTCAATTCTTATTAATAATTGAACTTTTTAAAACAGATTGCAATGCTTACGTTTCAATATTGTGTTGTGTCTAACCCAAGTTGCAAAATGAAATCTGTTCAAAATTAATTGTTATTTTTATAGGCTCATATTTCATTTTCAATTGACTATTTCATCAAAGCAACATTTATCATTGGTTGAAATTCAACAGGATTCCCACGGTCCTCAGAAACTTAATTTTTTTTTTAAAATGAGGGTCTTTAAATGTACTTAATTTTGGTGCAAGGCTTTTAAAAGTCCTTAATTTTTCAGTATCACTATAGTCAGAGATGATTGTGCTCCGGAAAACATCTGGATTTTTCGCTAACCAGGACTTCACTATATCTGTTCCGCAAACAGTTTTAACTAATGGTTCTAATAAAGGCTTTTATGACACATCATTTAAATAAATGATCAATGAAATGAAATACAAAAATGACTGAAAAATAATGCGTAGCAAAAAAAATTTTTAACTTTTATTTTTTATTACTCTTCGTCTTGTGTGCAAATTTTTTTTTTATAATTTCTAGCTGATGAGCAATCATCAACATCAGATAGGGAAACACTTCCTGACTCTTCGATAATTTTTCCTGAATTTATGTTATTCCGCTTTTTTTAAACCTGTCTATCCAGCCATTCGAACACATAAAAGTACACTTACCGAATTCATCGGCTTTAAATTGAAGCCTTTGTCCAGATACTAGAAGATGGCGGCTTCATTGAATGCTGAACGAATTCAATAATGAAGCAAACAAGAAAAAAATGCTTATCGCTACATTTCATGCTGTAAATAGTTTTAAAAATCGGTATATGTATTTATTTTGAAGTAGAAATTTCAAAATTATTACACAATATGAAGAAAATAAATCAGTCGAAGACAGAAAAAAGTTTATAATATCCAACTATCTCTCTTTTTTTGTTTCACTATATCTACAAAAAATAACATTATGTGTGTGTAGCAAGACACGAGAGCGAACATTTTGTTCACTATATTCGGGAGTTCACTATAAACCGTGTTCACTATATTCTGGAGTTCACTATAAACCGTGTTCACTATAGCGGGGTTTGACTCTATATCGAACTAATGATCTCAGATTCCTTAGTATTTTGCATATTTTTATTAATATATACGATTTGCCTTTTGCAAAATAAATCTTAATTAACAAAGATTAATTTTCAAAATTTTTCTTTTGTATGATTGTTTTTCAATTTTAAGTTTCTGACACCTTTTTTTATGATCTACTTCTATAAGAGGAAAAACATTATATGAAAAAAAAAATTTTTCATAATTTTAACTCCGAAGCATGAGTAGATTTGAAATATGTCATTAAAAAATACACAATTTCCGAATCTATCTTTACAAATAAAAATAAAAATAATTTTTTTGCTTTTCATCACTTTTTTTGAGCTTTTTTACTATTGAATCTTGCATCAAAAATCCGCTTGAACTGAGAAAAAAAAATTTTATCAAAATTGTCAAATTATAATGTATTTATAAGAATTTATATATTAGAAAAAATATCTGTGAATGATAATGAGCCACTTTTGTAATGTAGATCAAATATAAAAATGAGGCAATGTAAGTTCCATCAAAAGATCCTCCATGAAGGCAAATTTCTCGCAATACTTCATCTAGGGTAGGGATGGCGAACCTTTATGCACCAGCGTGCCATTTTTTTCTAGAAAATTGTTTAATGAGGTCATAGACGCGCCGACAAATAGTTTTGACTTCGTGATTATTGGATAAATAATAATATTAAATACTATCAACTCAAAACTCTTTTTTCACTGAGAAAAAAAAAGTACATTTTGCAATGTCTCAGTTATAAGCGTAGTTCAACTTAAAGTAACATCAGTGGGACTTCCATTGTTGCAGATTAGATGACAAGTAACTTGTATTAGGGATATAAGATGTTAGTTTAATCAGAACTGTTAATTTTTCTTTGCTAGATATTTATTGTTAGCTTGTTAATTTTTTTTTAATTTTAATCTTTTCTTTGTGATCGGTGACGTGCCCAAAATATTGAATAACGTGCCATTGGTTCGCCATCCCTGATCTAGGGTTTTTCCTTGTCTTCAGGTTTGGGTTCAAAGTTACAAGTCTACGGAGTTGAACTTTAGTAGTAGTAAACCCAAAATTGGGTTATTAACTGTTCAACGACGGTTATAAAGTAACTTATACTAAAGGATCTCTGAAAAAGCTGGAAACGGTTCTACAATAGAAACTATTTTGAAATAATAAATGTACAGTGCCCAAAATGAAAAAAATATTTCTTTTTACATATAGAACACTTCATTCGCTTTAAAATATTGAAAAGAAGTTAAAAAACAATATAAATTAGAATAAATAAATAAATAAAAATTATCCGAAATTTATCCGTTTATTAGCTATTTTTCGCTATTTCCCCACAAAAAATTGGGGGTATTTTTGTATACAGAACACTTGATTCAAGTTAAAATGTCAAAAAATATATTAAAAAACATAATATAAAAAAAAAATGTTAAATGTCGATCGTCGCAGGGATTCGAACCCATGGCCCCCGGAACAGCAAATCTAACTTGCCACACAGCTTTACCAACTGCGCCATGATTCACATGCCTGCTCCGCGAATATTTAGCTTAAAACACCTCCTCCCGGTTAGTAAACAAAACTTATTTTGGCAGATTGTGGGCCCACTAATTGGTATATAAAAAAATCCTTCGTTGCAATTGTTCGATACATTAAATTCTAATT